AACTAGGGGCCTGGGAAGCAAGACTTATGAGGAAAGGCTGAAAGACCTAATGTTATTTAGTATGGAGAAGAGAAGACTGAGCATGGATTTGCTAACAGTATTCATATACCTGAAAGGCCGCAACAGAGAGGATGGAAGAGGCTTTTCTCTGTGGCTGTAGGGGACAGGAGTAGGAACAATGGCCTCAAGCTGTAGAAGGTGAAATCTAGGTTGGAGATTAGGAGGCACTATCTGACTATGAGGGTGGTCAAAAACTGGAACAAGCTACCTAGACAAACTGTACAACCTCCATCCTTGGATGTTTTCAAAAGCAGGTTAGACAGACACTTGGCTAAGAAAGTTTAGTCAAGAATGATCCTGTCTTGTGGGAACCGGGCTGGACTAGATGACCTTGTGAGGTATCCTTCAGCCCTACTTTCCTAAGAGCAAGAAGAGCATAATTGCTGAATGTATGCTGGTAGAGCTATTGCTGAAGACTGGAAGAGATAACTCGTCAGTTATGGAATGGAGGAGATATTAAGATGGAGAATATAACAATACCATATTTACCCAAATCCAAGACAACTTTGAATTTAAGATGATCCCCAATAATTAGAATCTATACACGGAATATGTATATATTGGTTATAATTTTCCATATATAGAATGTAATTATTGGAGGGTCATCTTAAATTCATCCCCCCACTGCTACAAGGAAGAAAGCAGTGAAGGGGGGATGGCAGGGTGTAGTGGGGACAAGTGGCTTGACACCTGCCCCTTGTCCCCTCCACTTGTTCTTCCTGCTCCCTGCTCCCCACCCCTGATACCTGCAAGCCCCATGCCTGCCCTCCCCACAGGGCCAGAACCTCCCGATGCCTTCCCCTGCTGCCTGCCCCCTACCACCTCTGCCCCCTTTGCAGCCTCTGAGCCTCCTACCCTACTTATCAGTCACGACTCCATTCTAGAACAAAACACATGGTGCCTTTGGCAAGTGGCAGCATCTGGTGTCCTGGGGTCAGAGCTGCTTCTCCTGCAACTGCTACTGGGTTGCTGCACCAGAGCTACTAAGTCCCCATGCCCCCCATGCCAGAATGAAGCTAGAGCAATTACTGATGGTAAGTGAGGGGAGGAAGAGGCAGCAAAGCAGTGGCTGTGGCTCTGACTTGGCCCCTAAGCCCCAGTCAGAGCCCCTCCCCACCCCACCTTGTACAAAAATGCAAGACGAGGGTCTTCCTCCCTCCCAGTGATGAATGGGGAAAACAACCTTGCCTTGGATTTGAGTAAACATGGTGGCTGCTGACAGACATGAACCCCCACCAAACAAAACAAAACAAAAACCTAGAACTTTACTGGAAGAGGAAGCACTTTAGTTTGACCCAGCTCCCCAGCACCTGTATCGATTATGTGCTTCAGCGGAGCTTTTTGGTTCTTTTTTCTAAGGCTGATTCAATAAGCTATTAGATAAAAGCACCAAAAAGTCCTGCTGAAGCATGCAATCTATACAGACATTGAGCGTGCTGGGTCAAACTAACATGTTGTCTCTTCTGGGCACACACTGCGCTCAGTGTCGGGGCACACCAAGCTTAAAGTAAAGCGTTGTTTAGTTTTGTGTTTTTCAAGTCTGTAAGCAGCCCCAGTATGTATATCTGATAATTACAGTAAGAGAGCTTATTTAAAGCAAGAGGATGGTTTCTTTCCTGCGCCTGCAAGATAAAGGAAACATGAAAGAGGGAAAGGGTAAGGAATAAGAAAGAACCATATTTTCAGATTCACTGGAGATGTAGGTTCAAAGACTTACCTTACTTTCCCAAACCTAAGACAATTCTGAATTTAGGACAACACCCAAATAATGAGATTCTAATTGAAAAATTATAAATTAGGTGCAATTTTCAACATCTAGACTCTTTTGGAGGGTCATCTGATTTTTTTCCTTCACCAATGTGACAGGGCAAGCTGGGGGACGGGGGGGGGCAGGCAGTGGGGGAGCCAAGTGGCCTGAGCCCTGCCACCTGTGTCCTGCCCACCACTTGCCTCCCCAGCTGCCTACCCCCTTCAGTGCCTACATGCCCTGCACCTACCCCCCCAGAGTGTCTGTACACTCTGGCACTTGCCCCCCTACCATTTGTGCCCACTGCCATCTGCCCTGCCCACCCCCCCTTGCCTTCCCTGTGGTATCTGGTCTCTGGAGCCTGCACCCCCTGACACCTGCCCTTCCCTGTGATACCCCTTCTCTGGCTCCTCTGCCTCTTGCCTGCTTCGCCTCTATCTACCTCCTGCACTGTCTCTCCATCCCTCCCACTGCTGTCATCCCCACCTCGCCTGCCATTTCCTCCCTACTACTGACCTTCCAGTCACAGCCCTGGCCCTGCTCTGGCTGGGGACAGGTAACAGAGTATGTGGGCCCCAGCCCAGCCAAACAGAAGCTGTTTTAGCAGCAGCAGCTCCAGCCCTAGCCCTGGAGCTGCTTCCCCTATTGCATAGCCAGGCAGGGGCCAGAGGCAGCACTCTTTGCTCCCTGCCCCTGGCCAGAGTGGGGCTCCAGCCAGAGCCAGGGATGTGACAGGAAGCTAAGGAGTGGGGGGAGGTGGCAGGGAGCAAAGGCATTAGAGGGAGTGCAGAGGCTGTGGTGCAGGGGAAGGGGGAAGCAGCAGCCACTGCCCCCTGCAAGCTTGTACTAAAATCCCCCCTTCCCACCACTGAATGGGGGGCGGGAAATCCCATCTTGGTTTCAAGTAAATACTGTAAGTCAGGTCATTTGTCAACAGTAGTGGTTCTGATGAGAATTTATATTTTTTCTACACAGATTATTGGAAGTCAAAGCACTAATAGAGAAAAAGTGCTTCTCAGAGAATAAGGTAAGGTATGATGAAGAAAAGAGCCAAAAAAAGAACTGATGAAGAGCAGAACAATCAAACAAATGCCTGGTCACACTGGCTTAGTGAGAACATTCAGGAAATAATTTGGTTTAGAGAACTGGAGGGTCTATGCTTTTTCTACAGGGACCGAGGTTTCCTCTCTGCTGGTTTAGTGCTTAGGAAATACTAAGGAGACAGTTTTAGAGATTAACCAGGTTGCTTGGCAAATCTTATTTCCTGTAGTTCTTACTTTTTTTTTT